TGTAATATATACAATTATATTATGTGATGTCTCATACATATGTACGAGTATATAGTACTCAGTGGTGGTGAAGGCAGTGGTAGCCCGGTGGTGACGCGCTCGCTTGGGAAACCGAGTGAAGCGAGTTCAAATCGCAGGTCTCGCACCTCTGATATTTTCATGTGCGAATCATTTCCAACATGATTACCACTAGTCTTAACTGTGAAGGAAAACATCGTGAGGAAACCTGCATGTCTGAGAGAATCTAGCAAGTTTTCGAAAGACATGTGAAGTCCGCCAACCCGCACTTGACCAGCGTGGTGGACTATGGCCTGATCGCCCTCATATATAAAGGATGCCCGTTCCCAGCAGTGGGATGTCACATAAGGCTGAGTACAATATGAATATGTGAAAATGAATTTGAACTTCATATTTGCACATTTAAAAATTTGAATACATAAAATTACATATTACGTATTGAAGGGAGGCCCGTGCCCTGCAGTGGGACGTTAAAAAGGCCTGAATACAATATAGTACTCAGACTAAGAAATAACATAGACAGTGTGAGAGTGTCATAGAAGTAAACATGAGGCGTAACAAAAATGTTTTAAAATAATATAAAATATTTAAAACAGTAAAAAAATAGAATACTAATTACTGTGATAAGTAAATAAATAATAATAAAAAAAAATTAGGGTTTTTTAATAATTAAATATTAGCTAATATTATGCTACTTTTTCTAAGGCAAGCTTAAAAAATACAAAAGAATATAGTATTATTTTTATACGGCATTCATTATTTATATTTTCTTCTCAAACAATATAAATTATAGACTAAAAAATAGCCATTATTCTTCAATGAAAATAAAATATTTTTATGGAGAAATCGAGAATACACAGTATAAAAGCATAAAAGACAAAATCACCCTACTATTTTTGACTTTAACCTTTTATTGGTGGGCTCCGTCTATAAAATCCTTTAATCTGAGATATAAAAAGTCCTCATGAAAATTATTTAGAAAGCAAAATATTTAAGATGTAATATTTTAGATAGGTATAATAAAAGAGTAAGAGATAAGTAGGTAATGGATGTACCAATTATGAATCATGAATTTCATATATATATATATATATATATATATATATATATATATATATATATATTTATAATGATCTTTCTAACGAAAAAAATAGCAATTCGAAGATTGAAAGAAGTAATGAAGTTTCTAATTATTTTATTAATTACTAAGCTAACAGTCTCGCGAGCGATAACGGTGTACTATTAATTGTGTGCAATTATCATCGACCAGCAAGTTTATGCGTCAATGAATATATAGATAATAAACACAATATGGTACATCAATGCATATAATATTTTTTATATTTTATGTAATATTCATATTAGGCATTAACCGTTGTGGTGCTTGCACTGTGTCGGATTGGCAATGTCTTATATAGAGTTACATATTACAACTTTGCTATCAAATTAGGTTTATCTAAATTCTGAGTTGAATACTTCAAAGTTCTTTTAAGTAGCACTACAGGGTAGAGTTGGTACTATTTCATTTTAGCATGATGCTGTGAAACGCTTTTGGAACATTCTTAGTATCTAACGGTGGTAAATGTAATGAGATAAGCACAAGGGATAATTAAATAAGCTTTCAGATCTAATTACAAATGTTTATACTCAGACTGATTTAACGGTGGTTTTTGTCAGTGTCGATATTTTTCAAGTCACTATTGAGTTTGAGTTTGAATTTGAAACATGCTCAAAATATATGTTATACAAAAAAAAAACTTTTACAAATAAACTTTTAAAAATGCAAAATTTTTACATATAAATATAATGTCATCTTGTAACTCCATCCATCCAAGGAAGCTATTACCGACTCGAAAATCTATCGTAGTAGGTACTGCTGAGAAGAACCGTCGAGACACTCAGAAAAACTCAAAAATTTTATTATAACTTAATAAAAATCTTCACTTCAAGCAGAAACTTATTCTGCGCCTTCCGACGAAATAGTTAAGTAATATGTAACTAATTAGTAGCGATAGGTAGAGCCGGTTAGAATTAACGCTTATATTTTGTTCTTAATATAACCAGACCATAACTTTTTTTTACATACTTCTGTAATACCATTCTATTGCAATTATATCAAAAAGTAAGGATAAGCTGGTAACATTATAAAAAAAAAAACTTCATTTATAGCAATTATCTAGTCATTTTGTGCTAAAATTACATGATAATCAAGCTTATTAGGAATCTCGCTTATTGACACGTTTCCAGCAATACATACCATTTGTTTGTAATACGGGTTATTTGATATGAAATACCTTTATAATAGGATGAGCGATACTCGCGGCGCCTGCGGGATTACCTTGGTTCAGTGATCCATTAGAGTAATCTGACCATTTGTCCTTGTTTCTCGACACTTGACTAATTATAATAAAAGTTCATAGTAATTTTTAAAATATTTTATGTATACTAAATTGTTTGTTGTAGTATAAATATTCAGAAATTTAGTTGAATAAATACTTCATAGTTAGTATTAAAAAAGTTTTTAATTTTTCTAATGTGGCAACATCATAAATATAACATATCTACGTAAAAAAAAACAAGATAATTGGCCTAATGTAATGCAGCAAATAAAAGATTTTTGCAATTCAAAATTATTGAAATTTGTTAATGCGATCATAGTTCTTAAAATTTTTAAAATCTTTTCAAATTCTGGTCCAAATAGTGGAAAGAAATATTAATATTCAAGTCAAACTAGTAATTCTGAGAAACCATTTTGCAATTTAATTTGTCTGTCAGTGGATTACGAGTTTTTGTCCATTAGGCTTAAGTATGGTGTCCCGGATTATAACCTCTAAACGTGATAAGAGACGAAAGTGTGTGACTCACTGACTGATGCCTGTCTGCTACCTGATAATCTAAGCCCAAAACCTTCAAACAATCTCACTTCCATAGCATATCTAAAGAATGTTTAATTTATTACCAAGGATAAACATAGACTAACAGAGAAAATGTAGTAACTATTGAATAACGACCGCGACCTTTTCAATAATATTTATTTAAATGTCAACATATTTTTTTAGTGCCTTATAAAATATGTTCTAAATATTGTATACAACGTTGTATGAACTACATATATAATAAATATGTATGGTATATGTTATTCGATAATTATAAATTTTAATTTCGTATAAAAAAATATGAAACCCTGTTTTTTTAATATCGGTTAAAGTTTAATGAACAAACTTTTTAAAATTCACCGTACGTTTATTACAACTCGCCTAATTTACATGAACTTGCAATAAGAAAATTGTATTTGCATAATTTGATCAAGCCCAAACAATTACATTAGATAATTGACCAAAAATGGAACACATATCTCGTCTCACATTATAATCATTACAATCAATCTCGACCGAGTTTTAGTCTAATTTCATCACGGTATAATAAAACAAAAAAAATATCGGATCAAGTTGAAAAACCAGGGGATAAGATCTAGAGGAATCAAATTTCCTATTACATACGCCGCTGGTAGCTCCGAGTAGCGTGTAATGAGAAAAATCTGAATGTTAATTAAGATCTAATTAAGTTTAATACAATCAATGTTGCCAGCCTTTCGGAAGCATCCGCAAGTCATCGTAAGGGTTTGTATAGACTAGCGAATGGAGATCTCTAACCTTCATACAAAAACGTCCTGCGCAACCAACTTCATTAACAACCAAGGGCACGCCGGGGGCCATTAAAACTGGAAATGTTAATCGAATTGAGATCGGCCAACCCTTTAATAAAAAAAAATTGTTAGAATCACTCATTCGAATAGCCATTGTGATGTGAGAACTCAATTTAGTGAACACCCGAGCAGTACGTGAGGTAACTTGTATTGAAATGAAGATATCTTGGCCGGGTAATTACAAAGTCGTAATAGATGTAAGAATTAAAATATCATCTCAATATAAAACGCATAATACTCGCTCTATTCATAGACTGGACTACATAAAATATATAGAATAAATAATTGATATAGCTTTTGTTTATGGATACAATATTTTGCCGACGCTACCTACATAAATATTTAATAATTAAAAGTTTTATATGTACTATGGAAATAAAAATTTAAAAACATGAATAAATACGTTTGAAAAATTTATGATAGAAGTAAAAACGATTGTAAAAGAAAATCAAATTATTCAAAGTGAAAAATATCTCTAAAGAATCCAATCTTAAAATCAACCTACTACCATCATAAGACGTTTTACAGGTTTATAAAGAGAATTAATAGTATCTTCAATAGCCATGTCCAATAAAATTCATATAAAATGTGATCAATAGCACAAATATGCTATTGTTGTCGTCTCTTACAGCATCTAACAACGTTTATAGAGTTTAAGATATGAGTATAAAATTCAAAGCCGACCATAATACAAGCTATAAACAAAATTAACAACACAGGAACCCCCGCTGGTTTCAATTTTGGTTCTGACGTTGGCCCTAATTCAATAAAGTAATAAAATTCACCTAATTATGCAAATGCCTTTAAAATATCAAACGAGATGCTTTTTTGATTCAAAAAATATTAAAGGCGCCGTCAAAATCCCTCTTTGTTAGCTGAACCTTCTCGTTCAAAATAGTGCCATTTTCTCAATAATTAATTGTATGATGTAATTGGCAAAACAGCGGGAGAGCTGGATGTAACGTTGTAAACTAAGTATAAATGATCTTATTAGTCTTGTTTTCATTAAAAACCTTTACTTTAATACTGCTAATAATGTTATCGAACTATACACCGATTTATATTTTATTTATAACCCTACTTATTAATTATTATTTATTGTTTGACTTTAAAATAAACAAATTTTTATAAAAAAGTAATTGATAACGCTAGTATTTTTTTATATTCTTTTTTTATATAATTTAAATAATATCTAGTTATAAATATATTAATATATTATATTCACATAAAATTAAATTTATATTTCTTTATTTGTAAAATAATAAATTATACTTACCAAAATACGCGTAACACCAAAACAAACTAAATTCAAAGTCCTTAAAGTCACACTACAGCTGACAGCGAACGATTTACAGTTAATAAACGCCACAATTTACATGATACGCTTGAAGTCACGATAAACTATGACACACCGACACCTTCAATCGACTGGTGGAGAATAAAAGCGGATGGCTCGATCGCCTACGCACGGTTCGGTAATGTATAATAAAAAATGTAGCGGTTCAAAGCTCCGCCCAGTGGTACGCCCGGCCAATAGCTGTCGTGTGATACGGCGACAGACGCGAGGGTGGGCCTACATCGACTGATACGGGTCTCTACTTCGATACCGCTAATTGACTTTATCAACAAACCGACTTTACTGGCCAGAGTCACGATATGTGCGTGTGTCTGACGCGTCAAAAGCCTAACTGCGACCAACTAGCGCTATAATTAAGTGTAATGCGTGATTCTCCTCGGGACATCTCACAATTTTTGTTTTACAATATAAAATTGATAGCTTTTATTGTCATTTATTGCTGTAGATTTAAAAGGTTTTAAAATATAATGGTCGTTTACATTATGGATTACTGTTTACTGATTTTGTTTAATTTAAAATATTTTCATGTTTTCGTTTACTGTAACCTTTTCTTTTATTTAATCTCTAGTACCTATATTCAAAAGAAAACGTTTATTACCTATATAGGTGCTACAATGTAGCAAGTAAAATGCTTAAAAAACTACTTTATCTTTATTTTTTTTATTATTATCTTTTGGTCGACTGCTAAAAGCAGGAGACGTACTAAATTTGGTTGTATGGTTTTTATATGTACACTCAACACTATATCTTCGCCTATCTAAATTAATTTTAATATTTTTTTACTAGATACCTATCTAATTTTACTTACGAAATCCACCTTTAAGGGTGATATAGGGTTTTAGGTTAAATTTTCAAAATAATTATTTATATCAGTAACAGAAGCAAAATATATAACAATGAATGCTACTTTGTAACGTAACAGCTGTGATTATCTAAATCGTAATTAGCCTATGCGATATAATTAAAATGGTTAAAATGACATTATGCTTTAACTATAGCATTTTCACGACGTAATCTAAAATTGCTTTAGTTGTTTATAATAACAGTTTCATACAGTTATATTGAAACTTCTGTTATATCTTATATACCGTATAAAAAACTTTAATTACAATTAAAAAATATATTTTTTTTAAATCTTCTTAGTAGGTAATTATATATTCTACTTGTATGTGTAAGTATATCTTGTATGTGTTACTTTTAATGAGAAAATAAATATTTATAATAATTAATTAACTATGTAGTACAAAAGAGACTTTTGTATGTCATACATAAAGGCGATCAAACTTTCGTTTAATTGGTCAAAAGAGTTTGTATGAGAAATAATGTGCGTATAAGTGAGTGATCTTAATAAAGGCATGTAGTTGTATGGTTTTTTTTTAAATCTAAGTAAGACCTAGATTATTTTGTGTAGAGCAAATTTAATTCCTCTTTTTATAATAAATTCTAAAAAAATAGAAAAATTTTCGACGTATCTATAATAATAATTATTATATAATTTAATTCACAAAGATGAGAAATTCATTGATTCACTTCCTGCGCGGGATAACATATTTTTTCGAGTGACATTATAAAAACTAGCAAAAGTAAGTATTTATTTATTCTATTATTTAGATTTCATCATGGTTGTCTGTATGTTTATATCTTGTTAATATGAATATGTCTTAAGCATATGTAAGGCAGTTGTAGCACATTGGTAACGCGCTCGCTTGGGAAACCGAGTTAAGCTGGTTCAAATCTCCCATCTCTGATATTTTCAGGTGCGAATCATTTTTAACATGATTACCACTGTCTTGCAGTGAAGGAAAACATCGTGAGGAAACCTACATATCTGAGAGAATCAAGCAAGTTTTCGAAAGACATGTGAAGCCCGCCAACTCGCACTTGGCCAGCGTGGTGGACTATGGCCTGATCCCCCTCATAGGTATATAAAGGATGCCCGTTCCCAGCGGTGAAATGTCACATAGGGCTGAGTACAATGAATATGTGAAAATGGATTTGAACTTCATATTTGCACATTTAAAAATTTGGTTACATAAAATTACATATTTCTATAAAAAAATACTACTTACTAAGTATTTTCTATCAATGTTTATACATATAACCCTGGAAATGGTTTTTAAAGGAAAAAAGTATCGTTCGTATAAATTTTATTCGAAAACAAAATATATAAAATACTAAACATATTATCTTCTGTGATAAAACCGAAAATTGGTATAAAATTATACGTTTAACTTCTTGCTATAGAAATAATTTGATATAAAAAATAAATTAATCATGATCAAACAACAATCACGTGAATAATTTGCAGGGAATTACATTTGTTAAAATATTGTCCTCGATCGTAATGAATGTGAATAATGTAACACAATCGTAACTCAGATGAACACAATCTGCGAAGCGCATTAGAACACACAAATTACAAAATAACAAGGATTTCCTCTTCATAATTACACAAACGACACAAATTACTCAAGTAATAACACATGAATAATAAACCGATGATAACAAACTTGTTGTGCTGCTAAGGCGGAGTATAAACTAGGTTTTTACACATTTACTGTGTTAATTGAACGGTTTAATTTTTTTACTTAATATTCGTTTGTTACTACTAATTATTATTTTTTTAATATCTAGACTTAATCTACAGAACAGCATATGAAACAGGGCATGTCGTCAGAAAATGGTAACATATATTTTTTTATCATAAGTATTTAAATTTTAAATAATAAATTTCAATGTACATCTAAATATCTACCCTATTAAATAAAAAAAACATACAATTCCCATAAAACATAAATTTATTCTATCTATAAATTGTATATTTAAATTATTGTATCTCATAAATAATGACCGTCTGAACCCACCTTTAAACATACAAATTACATGACTACGTAATTCCCGCGCCCGGTAAATTAGCCCATATTTAATTTTGGGAAAATGTAAAAATAAACGTTTTTATTTGTGTAAATAACACAATAAGACCGCCGCTATTACAACACACGAAATTTGAACGCGCACCAAATTATAGAGATACGATCTCTGTCGCCGTAATTGTTATTTTGTGTCGTTAGTGCCCCGGATCGTGTAAATTCAGTTAGGGCCTTCCTTCGATATGCATTTTTGTTTTAAGGGAAAGAAATGATAAACATAATGTTTAAGTATATTAGTTCAAATGCTAGTTAGTTAATAGTGTATTTATTATATTCTTTATTGCACTTAAAATATGATAGAGAAAAAAATAACAAAGTAAACATAGTTCACAAAGGTGGACTTATCTCTAAAAGAGATCTCTTCCAGTCAACCCCTGGTTGTGGAAGAAGATGTCAGCGGGTTAAACTCTTCCATGACAAAAATCTCTTGAAGGCTTATATATATCTAGAATGTTACACAGTTTGTATATTATATTATTTTTATTTTCAATCTAAAGTTAAAATAAATAAAAAGCTATTTATATTTATACGTAAATATACATTACATACGTATCTATATACGTACTTTAAAGCATATTTAATATGACGTGCTTTACACTGGTCTTTTCGATTTGTCATAATTTACGTCACAATAAATATACTAATTAATAACTGACGTTTGAATAGACGTATAAGATTATAATTTACTAACACATTTTGAGTGAGTATTGTTGGATTTTTTATAGTAGAAACGTACTCATGTGCATATCAATAATTCCCTCTTTATTTAAAACTTATTTGGATTTTTAAGTACGAGTATTATACAGATTACACAAACTTATAATGCTTAAATATAAATGATTTTAAACATTAATTATAAAGTAAATTGAATTTGCAAATAAATGAATTGATAGTAGATAGTAAAATATTAAAAGTGACCATTTCCCTTAAACAGGAAGTGGGCGCATAAAAAAAACATACATCCGCTCATTTGCAGCTTTCCCAACACTGCAATAACCGTAATTAGTTTAGACGGGTCGATGTAGATGGATAGGATTGCGATATAAGTTGTTATTATTTATTTATGCGTAATATTCTATAATATTTATACGTATATTAATTTATTATTATATTTATTGCGTATTAAAACCTTTGTACCTGCTACTATTATATTTTCGATGTACAAATAGCTTTAGATTATAATACCTCCAGGTAAATTTCTAAGAAATTAATTAAATTTCTAAGAAATCTTTTGTTAACTGTAACGCCGGCGTGTCTGCGGTCGTTGAGGGAATAACAACACGTGTAGCTTGTATATTAATATATCTATAATACGCCCTAAATTTTCCTTCTAATTATTTCTCTTATTGCTTTGATCGCCTTTTTCATACGAACACTACGTGGACGGCCAGATCTTTTTCTGTCACAAGCAGAGGAGGTTTCATTGTACCTATCAATAGCCAGTACACAAACATTTGACTAATACTAAGCGTGTGGAGAGTTTAAAAATTGTATTTGGCTCCATACCTACTTTGTGTAAGGCAATAACAGCGATTCGGTTCTCTTTATCGCCCCACTCCATTTTAATAGCACAAAATATTTTACAATGTATTGGCGCGAAAATAGGAAAACACAATGAACAATCATATAAAAATGACAAATTTCAAATTCAAATGTAATATTTTGATTATTTTTAATTGTAACAGTATATATGGCCAGACTATGTATATATATTGTACTAGCATTGCCCGCGGGCCGCCCGCTTTTAGTTGACCAAAAACTAAATTCTTAGGTTTTACATATTAGTATACTCTTACATTGCAGTTTTTGTATTTTTTCTCAGAAATGAGATATTTTTCCGCGGTAAAAAGTATTCTATATGTTGACCCGGATAACCAGCTATCATCATACCAAATTTCATCAAAATCTGTCCAGTGATTTTTCTGTGATGCGGTAACAGACAGACAAAAATTTTAAAAATTATAGATTCGGCCTCTGTACCGATAATAATGTCTATTTCAATAAGATTTTCCAAAAAATATTTAATGTAGAGATTCGTCTTACTTACAATTTTATTATATGTATAGATAATGTATACAGTACAATTTAGTGATTTTGTTGAAAATGAGCGTTGTATCTAAATTAGAATAGCAGTTGCTGAAGTTTGTTTAGTTTTTAACAACATACATAACTAAATAAAAGATCCTTTATTTAGTTTAGTGTGTACTGAAATTGAACTAACAAAATAAAAAAAAGTAATACTGTTGGTTTACAGTTGGTTTACTATATCTTTTTATGGTTTATTAAATATTTAAACTTTTTTTTATTTAGGAAGACGACAAAAACTAGCAAAGTCACTTCTACGATTTATAATGTACCTACCTACTATTATGTATTTACCAAGTACAGTTTATCAACTTTTTCAGTTGATGTTCTCCTAGCCGATTCCGGCCACGGCGGCCAATCTCATTGAGACTAGCCAACTGCGCAGAAGATATTATAGTGTACAAGTGTACGCGCAGACACAAGTGCACTCTCTATTCCTGTCACTCTCATACTCCGGTGGGACGACAACTCGACACGACCGGTGAGAGTTAAGGCACAGTAACTTTTTCAGTTATACGGTATGTAACATTAGATTTATGTCACAGTTGTGAAGCCTACAACTCCCAAGCTATAAAGATTTGAAATACTTTAAAAAAAAATCAGAAATTTAAGTATTTTTTTAGATTGAAACTCAATTGTTTTACTGTGGATTGTTTGGCCGGGCTTCTTTGTCATAAAAAAATTTACCATGAGTTCCAACTAGTAATTTTTAACCAAGGGTTCCAACTTTCCTATATCTTTTGCAAAATTAAAAAAACATGAACATCAAATATGTTAAAGCTTATTACACATTATGTACCTACCTATACCATACCTATTATTTTTAAATGTAGATTGATAAATAAATAATCGAAAATTGGATTTATAGCGGCAGAGAGTTCTTATTTCATCTTTTACTAGCTTGATGGCCAATACAAATTTTCATCCCCATTTTCACCCCCTTAAGTGATAATTTCCGGGATAAAAAGTATCATATATCCTTCCCAGGGTTTCAAACTATCTTCTTACCAAATTTCATCTAAATCGGTTAAATAAATCCAGAGATTACACCCTACAACATCACTCACAATCTCACAAACTCAAAAACACACAAACATTACCTCTTTATAATATTATTATAGATATAAATAAATAAACAAAAGGGCACTATAATTACTCAATATGGGCGTCCGTGCCGAGTGGACTTCAAAAAGATCGTGGTCAAAATCAATCAATGCATTATTAGTTTTTTCCACCAATGTCACTGCGACGCCGGATGTGACAACCGGACTTCAATTTTCAACACTATAGTTATTTTTTGCTTAATTTAAAATAAATTACCAGCGAACCTTACCAACTTTTGTATTTATTTCCATTTAATTTTATATGTGGCAAAAAATATATATCTATTTCTTATTTATGATCTCATTAAATATTGACATACAGGCGTCGTTATTAATTTATTTTTTTATAAAAAATCAAGTCGCCATTCTTATCTGACATTGATATCCAAGATAGATATATTGAATGAGTCTCTCTCATTACAATTATTATTTATGTATATGAAAAAAGTTGTTTATTGACGAAATTTTAATATGGCATAAAGTAGAGATAAAAGCGGTAACCACGATCCACCCAAGACGAAACCATAACTCAATATTTGTTTTAATCACGCCAATAATTGATCCCGTCACGGCCCGGTCGTGTATACCGAAAACCGTCACGAAGTTCTCAGAGAGAAGCACTAACAAAATTTACTTGCTTTTGTATCAGAGGTACAAAAAGCAAATCGAGTTACAGAGCAAAACGGACAAATCGACAAACAAATATCATTACCACGGCCATTTTCAAGTGTATCCGCTCGTGATGAGGACGTTTTTCATACCGCCCACTGGTATAACACAGCATCCATACTAATGAAGATTTTACTATGTTCTATAAACATTGCTTGAAATCTTAGCGGCTTGAGTTCTAAAATAACTTGAAAAAAGCATTGGATAGCTAAGTGTTACGTTAAACAATATTACTTTAACTTCTGAGAGCCGCAAGCGCTGGATTGAATTCAGAACTTATCTTTTTGGACGGATTCGATCGAGCTAAACAAACTGTGCGTCGTTGGCCGCCGAATCGATTGGTTTCGGTTTGGCTCAAAAAGGAAGACATGACACTATTCAGATGCGTCGATATTCGACGGTGCACGACCGGTGGGAACTACTAACTAAATATTTGATCGCCCACTTTGAAATTGGATCTACAAAAATTAAAATTTCAATTGAAATCATTATGTAGAAAAAATTGAAAGGAAACGGGCATAGATTTAATGATTTTTTTGAATATAGAAACAGGTAAATGATATTTTGTCTGTTCATTTTTCTGTATACTATTTCGAATTGAACGTTTTATAGATTGTATTTCTTTATAACTTGAACTAACGTTTACAATCTAAGATCCGACCTAAGATTCATGACCAATCTTATATAATAAAAAACATTAGGTATATATTAAGTAAATATGATATATGTACGTACATATGACACAAAAACTTTATCCTTGTCCAATGACTTATGGCCAAAGGCACCTACAAGGTATTTCTTTTAATAGTTTTCTTATTTGCTTACTATTTACGCAGATCTCATACTTAATACTATACTAATATTATTAACTTCTTTGCTGCATCTTCATTTGCTACACCAAAAAGTACAGGTAATGATTTTTAATTGCGCATTTTGTCGTGCTCTAAGGCAAGGTGATATGTTGTGCAGAAAACTAAATTTCTTTTTTAAGGGTTGCGTTAACCACATTTCATTAGGCACATCAACCATATTTGTTTATATATAATTTTGTATAATAGATAAAAAATTAAATTATAAAAACAAAAAAAACCGACTGCAACTTTTTTTATCATAACATGCAATTTCAAGTGACAGCCAAAAAACTATTTATTGGAAATATGACTTTACTCACCTAACGGTTACTTTAAATTCGGTCTGCCTAATGCACGTACAAGATACACACATTATGTATGTCTGTCTGTCACAAATCATAATAATCTAGTATAAGTCTACCTCCAACTTAGAATCAGATACATTGATCGTTATACCAAATAACTATTAAAGATGTAAAATAATAAGGTAATACGATTAAAATTCAAAATAAAGCATATATTTAAAGCTTACAACGTTGTTAAACTAAACCTTATATCTTACAAAGCGAGGAGCACTTAAGCATCTATTAAAATTTTAATTATCTGCCTGGTCTTTTCACACCAGATTATAGATTACCCATGGAAAGATGAAAGAACAACAATGTAGGAATAATGGATACTTACCAATTTCCATTTTATTCTTAAGGTACTTGTTCAATTTAGTTTTAAAAATAACAAAACGCTTAGTACTTCTTGTTAAAGCTGATGAAAGTTTAAATACTGACGTAATCATATTTAACTTATTTTTATCTACATTGCAAATGTTTTTTTGTAAAAGATTGGTTGTTATAATACAAAAAAAGAATGTTAGTTATCAAAAATCATTTCAAGGCAGCGGTTCACGAAGACT